GTAAAATTTGACATATTATTGTTGATTACTGTTCTCATTTACCTAAAAAATGCATTTTGAAATCATGCATTTACCTGATAAATGTATTTTGAAATAATTTTTGTGCAAGGTGCATAATGTTTGTTAGAGTAGCAGTAAATGAAAACCATCTGAGCTTTACGTTGTTCCTTACTGGAATCAGTCTTGTGCATAAAGCACTTCTCCATTGTCAGGGATATATGTTTTACCTAATACTGCTTCCTGCAGTCCTTGTGTTCTTTTATGGAAACCTTTCCCTTTGGGCGTCTGTCTCTGTTTACAGAGAGATTTTCTCATACCTGTTGTAGATGGTTGCTGCTTTCCTTTTCTAGGATGGTAGGGTCATACAATTTTGCATTCCCAAGTCTAATGTCACCTTGAGGGAGTCATGCTTGCCAAAATAGGGGGTTTGTTACAGCTTTTCCTCCATGGACCCACTGCCGCATCAGGGTGTCTTATTGTCTGGAAGAGATTTGTATCATATCATCACTGATGCAGCATATACTGCTGCTTTATATTAGGATAATCAGTTTAGTTTGAACATTACAGTTTTGTGTTCTACACACAACATAAATGTATTTGCCACCTACTCTTAGCTGCATGCTCAGAAGACCCTACTGGCTTTTCAGAAGTTCAGATTTCCATATTTATACATGAGTTTGTGGAACAGTCACTGTGTTCTGTATTGGCAACATTCTCAAATACTGTTAATTTATCTATGTGTGAAAAAGAGATGGTTCAGCCATGGCTTTTATTCTGTAAGTGTCTTTCTCCTGCCAAGCATATCATATGTGAATGGCTTAATGGCAGTCTAGGTTTTGTGGGGTTTAGTCACACAAGAATTTTGATATGTCTTATAAAGTCATGCAGTTGGTCAGTCTGCTGCATGGAGTCAGATGTAGATTATATCCATAAACTGCGGTTAATTAATGTATCAGCAGTGAAATGAAGGTCTTTCTTTTTCCTTAAAGCACAATAAACAAAAATTTAGAATTAAAAAATACTTTTTCTTCCAAAACTTGCCAGCATTAAAAAACACTGATATTTGAGAATGCAGTGCACAACTGCACATAATTTTAGCAACATGAAAGTGCATCATGCTCTGAGTGATGAAGTGACTAATGATTTATTCATCAGTTAATTTAACCTTTTGTAGGGCTATTCTGAATTAGCTTGCTTGACCAAGAGTACATTTTAAAAATAATAATTAAATCTTGATTAATGTTTCTAATGATAGCAAATTAATGAAAACTTAGTATATTGCTTAGATAATAACTACTTTTATTGTTAACAATGGCCCCTCATTTGTAGCCACTTAGAGTAGGCTTAGCTTCCAGCATGGGCTTCAGTATGTTATGCTGTTACCTTTTGCTATGCCATTCTTTTTTCTTTAGATAGGCACCCATTGTAGTCTTTTAACCCCTTTAGTCTAGTTTCATGTAGAGTCTCTAAATTACTCTTATTCCTCGCTAGAGGGCATGTATTTCAAGGTTTTATTCACTTTGATGTATATCATTCTGTCCAAATTCTCACCTTGCTTGAAGAATGGTTACCAGATTCAGGTAATACAGACGAAATTTGACTTCCTTATTCAGAATTTTCCTGGCTTTTTATTCAGTGTCTTTACTAGATGCAGCTTCCCACTGGAAGCTCAAACTGGGCTGATTTTTCTCCATCCAAGTCCTCTTCATAGCCACTACTGTTTCCATCTTATCTAGGTGCTTAATGTTCTTGGTTTTAAAATTATGTCTATATTTTTTATGATGAAGCTAGTGAGTTATTTAGACTGCTTACATTATCAGCTGGGGTTTCTTTTTTGCATTATTTCCTGCATGCCATCATGACATCTGAATCACGATTTCTGGTTTTCTATGGCATCATTAAAAAAATGTCTAGGATAAAGAAGTAAACTTTAAGGCATTCCTTCAGTTCAGTTCATTAGCATTTTGCCATTATATACTGACATGTGTCATTTAAAATACTTTAATTCAGTTAACCTGTTGCATATTTATACAAAATCAAATGTCTCTTAGAAGTCTGTGTCATCAAAACTATTATTTTTAACAACTGAAATTATAGTGTTACATAAAAAGCCATCAAGGTATTTTGATAAAGTTTGTTATTAATTACAGTTGATGTGTACTATTATACTACAGACTTTTTAACCTGCATTAATCAAGATTTGGTTTAGCTGTTTTGTTATAGAACCTAAAGCAAATGTCAGGCTGACAGAGCATTTAATGCTATAAACTACGAACTCACAATCAGTTTTCTTTTTCATCCTAGTTTTTTGCGACTACCTTAGCTTCTCTGAAATCAGAGTTAATGTTCCAGACAGCAAAAATATTTTTGGCCAATCCTTTTAGGAATTTTTAATGCAAAATATTTATGTTCATGTACTTTAAAAGATGTCAGTGTTTTTGAGCAGTATATTTCTATTCTCAGAGCAGGCTGACAAAATATCCCTCCTCTACAATTCTAGTGAAGTAATTTATTAGCTTTCTTTTTTACTATCTTTCTTTAGTTTTTGTAGAGATTGCTTAGCCTCAGTGCAATCTGAAATTTCATGTGTGATGGGGAAAAATAAAGTTAATAAAAAGGTAGGGCTTAAAAGGGATTTGAGAATAGATGCCAAGACAGTGTGGAGAACAAAGCAAAGCATTTTGGCATCCAGAATACTGTAGAAGAATGGACAGTTTTACAGGAAAGTGAATTGCCACGGTTGTAACAAGCTCAGCTTTTCTTCAACAGTCAAACCAATCTGCTGAAGACTAGAGTGCAACCACATGAGATGATGGCAATATAGCTGACTAATAATTCACTGATTGCAGACTTCAGACACCACAGGGTGACTTGTGTCCCTGCACTGGTGTGCTTCAAGCTCAGATAAAAACATTATTGGTATGTGTCGGCATACTAAGGCAATGCTTAATGGAAGACATGGTATTTAGTTTGTACTCCATATACAGACAGCAGTTCCTTTCTGTCAATTTCATTCTTGAGTGTTGTGATCAGTGCTTTGTAGTTAAGAATGCTGCTCTTTTAGGTTTCAGCTCTGTTGTTTCAAGCTGTTTTGTAATTCAGGCAAATGCTATTCCATCCGCCTGTGAAGTCTGAAAGTAATTTTTGCACTTAATAACAATGGAAAAACACAGGAAAAGACAACACTTGTCCTGCCCAATATTTATCACTTTCATAAAAACAGCAGGTATTGCACTCCTAATGATTGTTAGATGAGTTTTATTTCAGACTTGCCAAAACAGTTTCTTTTTTCTGAATGGTTTCTTATGAATAGACTGATCAGCTCTCTCAGATGTTTTACTAAAAAAATCATTATATCAACAACTTTTACAGAACATAACAATATTTTATAAGTTATCATGAACTATATTTTGTTTCATAGAATCATAGAATAGTTAGGGTTGGAAGGGACCTTAAGATCATCCAGTTCCAACCCCTCCTGCCATGGGCAGGGACACCTCACACTAATCCACATCACCCAAGGCTCTGTCCAACCTGGCCTTGAACACCACCAGGGATGGAGCATTCAAAACTTCCCTGGGCAGCCCATTCCAGTGCCTCACCACCCTTACAGGAAAGAACTCCCTCCTTATATCCAATCTAAACTTACCCTGTTTAAGTTTTAACCCGTCACCCCTTGTCTTATCACTGCAGTCCCTAATCAAGAGTCCCTCCCCAGCATCTCTATAGGCCCCCTTCAGATACTGGAAGGCTGCTATGAGGTCTCCACGGAGCCTTCTCTTCTCCAGGCTGAACAGCCCCAAATTTCCCAGCCTATCTTCATAAGGAGGTGCTCCAGTCCCCTGATCATCCTCATGGCCCTCCTCTGGACTTGTTCCAACAGCTCCATGTCCTTTTTATGTTGAGGACACCAGAACTGTACACAATACTCCAAGTGGGGTCTCATGAGAGCAGAGTAGAGGGACAGGATCACCTCCTTCGACCTGTCGGTCACTCTCCTTTTGATGCAGCCCGGGATACGGTTGGCTTTCTGGGCTGCAAGCGCACACTGAAGCCTGCTCATGTTCACTTTCTCATTGGCCAACACCCCCAAGTCCTTCTCCGCAGGGCTGCTCTGAATCTCTTCTCTGCCCAACCTGTAGCTGTGCCTGGGATTGCTCCGACCCAGGTGTAGGACCTTGCACTTGTCATTGTTAAACTTCATGAGGCTGGCATCAGCCCACCTCACAAGTGTGTCAAGGTCCCTCTGGATGGCATTTGTTCCCTCCAGCACATTGACCGAACCACACAGCTCAGAGTCATCGATAAACTTGCTGAGGGCACACTCAATCCCACTCTCCATGTCACTGACAAAGATGTTGAACAAGACCGGTCCCAACACTGGTCCCTCCGAGACAGCACCCATTACTGGTCTCCAGCTGGACATTGAGCCGTTGTCCACAACTCTTTGTGTGTGGCCATCCAGCCAGTTCTTTATCGACCGAGTGGTCCATCCATCAAATTGATGTCGCTCCAATTTAGAGACAAGGATGTCATGCGGGACAGTGTCGAACGCTTTGCACAAATCCAGGTGGATGACAGCAGCTGCTCTACTCCGTCCATCAGTTCCGTAGCCCCATCATAGAAGGCCACCAAATTGGTGAGGCAGGATTTTCCCCTGGTGAAGCATTTCCCCTTAGAGAAGCTTAGTTTCCTTCTATTCTTCTTTGTTATTTGAAAAATGTATTTCATAGCACATTGAACTTTAAAGGTATGTACAGGAGTACAGCCAGCACACATCCAGGGGGTTAAAAAATGCTAGTTGTTCTGTAGGATGAAGCTACAGTGGACCTAATGATAAACAAAACCCAACCCAAAATATAAAGAAAATAAATGTCTGTTTCACTGCTTTTTCCTTTTGGTTATCCATCTTCAATGCACTTGTAAACCTGATTTTCTGAATAATATTGTTCCTCTGTTAAAGTCGGAGTGTTTTCACTGTCTCCTGTTTGTTCTTTCAGGATTTGTGGATTTAACACTCCATGATCAGGTCCATCTACTGGAATGTGCCTGGCTAGAGATACTGATGATTGGCTTAGTCTGGCGCTCCATGGAACATCCAGGAAAGCTTTTATTTGCACCTAACCTATTACTGGACAGGTCAGTCTGCATGTTGCTATGAATTATTCAAGTTAACCAATTTCTACTGCAATTTTAACTCATAGTCATTTTACTGATCTCACAGTTTGAAAGTATTCCGTAGGTTAAGCAGGCTTATAGTAGGGGAGACTGGAAAAGGAACTCTAAAAAACCTAGAAATGCTCTTGAATATGATGCTGGTAATTTATTAGACAAGTAACTCATCCAAACTTCAGCTGCTGCTGGAAGCACTTTCAAAGGCAGCAGAAAATTTCTCTTGTAATCTGTACTGCTTGTTGTAAAACTAAATGAAATTAAAATTAAACACTGAACTCTAATCACTTTAATTCAGGTAATTAGTTCTGCTTACCTAAAATCCTCCTACTTATTCTTAGTTATAATGGGTTTATCCAAGCAGCCATCCAAAATGTTGGAAGAAAATCATGGTAGTCTCAATTGCGATCTTAATTATTTGTAGAGAGTACATGAAGATTTTCTTCTTTTTTTTTTCCTCCTGAAAACTGGAGTCATGTATGTAATACACACCTGCTTGCTGTCAGTCACGCTAATATGTTGTTAGTGTTTCTAAGTGAGAGAGAAAAATATGCATCTCTGCCATAAAACAGTATCCTGGATTTTAGCTGAAAGTCCTCACAAATAAAAGCAGAAAGATTGATAGATATAGAGCATATATTCTAACTATCTTAATGCAAAGTTGACTTCTCTTTTTTTTTTCCAGTCATGAAAAATTTCAGCCTTGGACAAGAGTGTTAAAAGAGAACAACCAGTAATCAGGTTTTTTGGCAAATGACTGTGGCAAATCCAGGCAAAGTTAGTTAGGATACATTAATCCTTCCTATTTGTAGTCCTCTTTAGTTGGCGACTATCACCCACCTAGCAGAGCTGGCAGGAGAGAGTTTATATATGCACACTGGTCACTTCAGGGCAGAGTTTGGCATCTTGGTCTAAACAGAAGGTAGAGAAAGAGCTGAGGAGATAGGGTATATGATGAGGCAGCTATGAGCTGAGCAAGCTTCTTATCACCAGATGCAGAAGCAGTGAGCTGCAGCAGACAGATGGCAACAGAAAGTCAAGGGCAGGGCCTTCAGCTACTGCAAACATTAGCCGGTGAGTGAATGAATGGACTAGCTGACCCCTGGTGGTCCCTTCCAATCTCAGGAATTCTGTGATTTTAGTAAAATACCAGTGATAATGCCTAACAGTATAAAATATAATATTTCATAAGAATAGGGAAGTATTTATATTTATTGCCTTAGAAAAAACCCTGTTCCACTGACCTGTGAGCTATGGAGCTAGATATGTATAAAACACATTCTCATTTTGTATACAGAACATATTTGCTTGCCTAAATGTAAGTATAGTCTTCTGAAGGAAACACAACAGTTTTAAAATTATTTCTTAGTGTACATAAGAAGTAAAATTTAAACTGTAGAAAATTAAGCATAGCATATTATTGAAAACTACTGTAAATTGTAATATGGATTCCAAAGACCAATCCATCTTTTCCACATTCCATGGTACAGGTTTTGAGAAAAAATTGAAACTGAAGAGCAGAGTCAGAGTAACATTTTTCCTCCTCATAGCTGAGAAAAAAAGCTAGGGAAACATTGGAAACTTTGGTCTTCCTCAACTAAAACTCTCCATGTTCTGAATAATGGAGTTTGAGCACTTGATTCACACAGATAAGCCAACTCTGCTGGATTTTATAAAACAGTTGCATGCAACTGGAACTGCATGTTACTTTAGGGCTTAAAAATCAATTAACTTAATAATCAAATCAGACTCTGTTTTCTGACTTTCAAACTTTTCAAACTTTCTAAAAATGTAGATCTGTTGCATCTTCTCATTTTCAAGTGACAAGAAATATGTTCCTAAGGCTCTATATACATGCTTCACTCTACTTGGTAGGGTCATTTACTGAAATTAAATTAATAAAATACTTGACCCTGGGAACCACTGATACCCTACTTAGTTAACTGTTGATTTACTAGGTAATTAGTGCTAACAATAGTTTAATATGCTAATTTGATTTCAGCAAGTTGCCTTTCAAAAAAGGGCAAAAGTATGTTTGTCAGATTTGAGAGAGCAGGTCAGAGACTGATACAAAGCCTGTTTGACTCAATGGAGTCCTTCTACTGCATCAAGTTTTGGGGCAAATACCACAAGAGTGCAAATTATTGTTGATCTAAATAATGAAAGCATCTGATTGATTGGCTAAAATAAAGGAAAAGATGGATGCTGTAGCTTAATTTCCTTTCATCTGTTCTCTCCTTACCCTTCAGCATGTTCTTTATAGGGTACTCTTTTTTCAGTGTTTTCATCCACAGCACTCTGTCCTGAATCCCCATCACACTTTCCCTGTTACCTGATCTTTAGGGTTAACAGCATCTGCATATATTCATTTAGTTACTGTTTATAATCCAGAGTCACCAACAACACATGGTAAAACCCTTATCTGTCTCTAACCTATGTTTTTCTGGACTTTTTACAAGTTCAGTATTGTTAATATGGAGCTTTACCAAGTTTTGTGTATGCCTTTAGCTCTCTGTGTTCATTCTGAGGCAGACATCTTCTCTGATTTGCACATCCCTTTCATTTTTCATGTTAGGGTTTCTCTTGTCTCTAACAAATTCTTTCGGTTTAGAAACTTGGAGGTAAATGGTCCTTTGTATACATCCATGCATAAAGCTCAGGTCATATCAAGTCTTATTGTGCAACTTTTTTACCTTTTGGCTAAATAAATACTGTCTTTTCTTGTTCATATCTTTCTGAAATGTCATAGAAATAACATTCCAACTTTGCTCTTCTTTTGAATAAATCTGATTTTTCTCCTGGCTCATTCCGTCTACTACGATCATATTAAACATGAGCTTGTCTTGTCTCTGACGATCTTTTAGAGACTGTATTATTCTGTGAGCATCTATTTATTACATTTTCAGATAAATACCTCTATAATTTTCCTATGTAACATTTCACACTTGGAAGGCTCCTTGAAAATATCTGTAAAGCAGCCCTTTGTTATTAAGTTCCCTCTTAAAATTTTGGTTTGCTTATAAAAAAGATTATACAACAATTAAGTTGCCAGTATGTGTAGACTAATATCATTCTGTATGGATGAATATCATCACATTATCCCTTTCTATTCCCACGCTGCCTTGTAATTAGATAGAGTATTTTGTGAGGTAATGCACCCTTTCTTATTCTGTTCTCACTCTACAGAAGCACTTGAGTCTTGTTCAAAATCAAGACCTTTAACAGTCTGCCAATTACATATAACTGGTACATTTTTTATAGTGTATAAATGATGCTATTAAATAACTTCAAATGACAATAATTATAAATTAGAAAATAGGCCCAATCAGGAAATACAATGGCACACTCACAGTACTTGCAATTAAGGTACAGTACTTGACACAATGAAAGCAAGCCCAGGCTAAATGCAAATCTTTCGTATGCCATTTTTGAAAATTGCTGTCTTGTATAAGAAGTAAAGGCTTACGTTTCTAACGGGACAAACCAGATGTTTCCTGTCTGGAGCAGTCCCAAGAAACTAGGCTTTAAAAATGTCATTAGAGCAAGGCTGAAATTTGTCAGGCCTGACAATAGGCTGTTTATAATCTTGAAGAAAATGTAATGTTTCTTCATGAATAAGAAAGCCCTATTTTATTACATTTTAAGAGGGTTTGTTGCATTCATGTATCATGCTGATCAGAGGTTACTTGAAGGTTTGAAACATAACTGTAAAGAAACTCATGGTAGAAATAGCTGAATTGATGACTTGAGGTGGATGACTTCTCATCTGAAACATCCTCAGTATCAGCAAAATGGGAAACACAGGGCTGCATTTAAAAAGAGGTGGGAGAAACCCCTGTCCGGTAAGCCTGGTGACAATCGTAAGGAAACTGATGAGATACCATCTAAAGAAGAAAGGTTGAGGTGTGAATAAACATGATATAATGGCAGAGAGTCCTAATGCATTTTGCAAGGGAAAGCCATGCATCATGAATACATTGGAGATCTTTGAAGAATTAACAAGCAAGTGAATGGGGGAGAACTTGTTGGCTTTCCAAAAAGTATTAAACAAGGTACAAATTGTATGTAGGCAAACGTGTACAGTTTCATACAGAAGAATAATCATAATCTTCATAACCTGCATTCTGCATTACCTTTCTGTGTCACTTTACGGTAGTCAGTTCTATGGAATCAGCAGTTCTTTGGTCTCCAGCAGTCAAAAAGTGAATAGACTGCAACTTTCTCAACCCCAGGAATTATTGCAACAGGGAAAAGAAACAGTGCAGATCATTGTTATTCCCGTTTAAATCTGTGCTCCATCTATGCTTGGAACACCATGCGTTTCTGATTTTCCTTATCTTAACAGGAATATCGAAAAAACAGGAAAGGTATCCTATGGGTTGCATAAGCAATCAAAGAAAGAGAGTACAAGGACTAACTAAATAGACTGGCTTTTTTGCCTGTGATGCTCAGCAGAAGACGGGAAACAAAGTAGAGAGGATAGGAACTGCATAAAGTCACAAACTCATTGAGAATCCACACAATCCAATGTATGGTAATCTACAAATTAATATCTCTTCCAATCTAGTATTAGACGCAATCACTTGAAATCAGCAGATCCAAATGCCTATACTCTTAGCCTAGAGCTAAATATACCTTTAATATGAGCCAGTATGGTCATTCTCATGTTATGTTATTTTCTTATCCTGATTGCAAAAAAAGTCCAGCAACAAAAATAAAACAGTGCAAGAAAATTTCAGTTAAGTATAGTCAGTATTTCCCTGTTTTTACTATATTATTTCCTTCTTTCTATGGAGAAATCTAATCTGTTGTTCAGGTTTATGTTTTTTTTTGTTTAACCTCTAGTTTACTGTCTCTTACGAAGAGCTTTATCTTTCAGATGAAGAATGAATAATTTTCCCTTACCTGACTTTCATACTAAGTGATGCAGAAAGCTATGAATCTCCTTCAGCTAGCATGAGTAGGAT